CTTTTTTTTTTTTTTTTTTTTTTTTTTTGAGACGGAATTTCACTCATGTTACCCAGGCTGGAGTGCAATGGCGCGATCTCGGCTCACCGCAACCTCCGCCTTCTGGGTTCAGGCAATTCTCCTGCCTCAGCCTCCTGAGTAGCTGGGATTACAGGCATGCACCACCATGCCCAGCTAATTTTTTGTATTTTTAGTAGAGACGGGGTTTCACCGTGTTGACCAGGATGGTCTCGATCTCTTGACCTCGTGATCCACCCGCCTCGGCCTCCCAAAGTGCTGGGATTACAGGCGTGAGCCACCGCGCCCGGCCCAACTTTCCTATTATCAAAAGGATAGTGCCAAGGCATTTAGGAGAAATTTGCCCCCATGACATAAACACCTCCTACCAGGTTCCACATCCAACACTGAGGATTAAATTGCATCAGGAGGTTCAGAACATGGACATCCAAACCATACCACAGACCAACTAAGCTTAACAGATAGGTACAAAACTTTTCAGTGAAAAGGAAAATAATACGCAATATTCTTATTTGCACCCAATGTATTCTGTTAGAACACATAACAAGTCTTATTAAAGAATACCAGCTAGGTGTAGTGGCTGATACCTATAATTTCAACAATTTGAAAGACAAACGTGAGAGGATCACTTAGGACCACAAGTATAAGATCAGTGTCGTTAACACGGTGAGACCCTATTTCTACAAATAATCAAAAAATTAGCCAGACATGGTAGTGCATGTCTGTAGTCTCCGCTACTGAGGAGGCTGACGTGGAAAGATCACTTAAGTCAAGGAGGCTGAGGTTGCAGTGAGCCAAAATTATGCCACTATAGTTTAGCCTGGGTGACAGAGTATGATCCTGTCTGAAAACAAAGACAACAAATAACTTTAAGACCAAAATTATACACTGTATGGTATCTGACCAAAACTGAATGAAACTAGGAATTAAAAGCAAAAGTAAAACTGGAAAATCCAACAATATCTAAAAATAAAACACACAGGCCAAGTGCAATGGCTCACACCTGTAATACTAGCATTTTGGGAGGCTGAGGCAGGAGGATTGCTTAAGGCCATGAGTTCGAAACCACCCTGGGCAACATAGGAAGACCCTGTCCCTAATAAATAAAATAAAAATAAAACACATTGTTAACATATTCCTGCTCAAGGGTCAAAAATTTTAATCTTGTTAAGATGCCAATATAACCTACAGAGGTGAACAAATTCAATATAATCTCTACAAAAATCTCAGTAGCACAGTTTTATTACAGAAATATTCTTTAAAAATTTTAAATTTGATTATGAACTATAAACACCCATGAAAAAGAACAAAGAGGCATTATATTTCCTGATATTAAAACATTAAAAGCTACAATAACAAAAGCAGTATGATACTGATACACAGACAGATAAACAGACAAAAGAACAGAATAGAGAGTTCAGAAATGAACCCTTGTGTATATGATTAAATGATCTTCAAAGTTGCCATGAACACACAATACAGAATTATTTTCAAAAAATAATGTTAAAAACTAAATGTCAGTACTGATAAAGTTGGATCATTTCCTTGAACCATATATGAAAAGTGTTTTCAATAAAATACTTACGCATAAAAAAGTTAACTCTCTTAGAACAAAATGGAAAAAAGTCATGACATGGGTCTTGGCACCATTTTCTTAGATACAACATTAAATGCATGAGCAAAAACAAAAAACAGAAAAATTTAACTATAGTAGACTTCAAAATTTCTGCACATTAAAAATAAAAAAATTGGCCAGGCACAGTGGCTCACACCTGTAATCCCAGCACTTTGGGAGGCCAAGGTGGGCGGATCATAAGGCGTTTCAGGAGTTTGAGACCAGCCTGGCCAACATAGTGAAACCCCATCTTCACTAAAAATAAAAAAAAATTAGTCGGGTGTGGTGATACACACTTGTAGTCCCAGTTACTCAGGAGGCTGAGGCAGGAGAATCCTTTGAACCCAGTAGGCGGAGGTTGCCGTGAGTCAAGACTGCACCATTGCACTCCAGCCTGGGCAACAGAGTGAGACTCCATCTCAAAACAACAACAAC